AAAGTCGATCCTTTATAACCAAACAATGTTCTCGGTGCATTCGCTGAATTAGAGCCATCCTTCCGCCGCACAGGTCTTAGGAAATTCATTTTGGAAGATAAACAATCAACTTTAGAGCATCTTAACTGGCCATCAGTTAACGAACACTGCATCAAGGGGTCCCATATGATCAGTCGTGGTCGAAAATAATCATCTGGATTTGGAGGAACGTACCTCGCATTCAATCCTAGTTGCCATGTGTGAGCTGGATCCACAAAAATAGGGAAATTTCCCTTAGCACACAATCTCTCTAACGTCCTCTTCATATATTCGTAATGTCTTTCTTTTAGAGCAGTAACGGGATACATGTCAATCAGATTTAAAACTAGAAGTGCAGATAAAATCCGAGTGACCACCATTTTGTTTACACAAGTCACACTAGCCAGAAGCCACCGGTCTTCTCCTTAGAAGCACAGGAAGACCAGTACAATTTTAATGATATGAGGCTGTGAGGCTATGAGGCTGTGAGGCTATGAGTTGAGTTCGTGGTTGGACAGAGCATAAGAACGAAAGAACGATTTTATTTGTTAACATCCTAGCAGTGAGGACAGTTATTAGAACTTTGTTATCTTTATATAAAAATTCCATTCTGATGACGCAGTCTGTGTTGTGGTACCCACAGAAAGAACCGAGGATTACCAGCATTTTCACATAAATAACTTGCCAATTCTGGATTCGTGGCAAGGCTGATTCACGAGTTGTACTCCTCTCCATAGTCCTTCCACTTAACCAATACAAGATCTTTACGCCTTTCTTTAACAACCTCTTCAATCCAAAGCTTTTCTTCACATTTTAGAAAATCGTCAATTAACTTTGAACTATCATTTAAAGACAATCGAGGACGAACAATTCGCCCACGTCGTGTTCTGAACTCCGCCATTGTGAACCGACAGGGAAAACTACTTGTATTCCATATTTGGAATAGCGCTCCTTAAATGGAGCGTGACGCATTTTGAAACGAATGAATATTTCTCCGAGGCAATTGTTTGATATGCGAAAAAATCGCCGAAGTTGCTTGTTTACTCGGATTATCAGTGGGGGCGTGGGTATCAATTTACATTTGCAAGCTTTTGTTAACAGTGAGTTTCATATGAAAACGTAAAAAAACTGACTGAATTCACCTGTTCAAAAAAATTATGCTAATTAGCACTTATTGTAATTCGATACTCTGTAAAAGTATGAAAAAAGGAAAGTAAATGGACAAATGACCATTATTATTACCTTCGCATTGTATCTTGATGTATTTTAAACGTATCAAATCTAAGGAAATTTGACAACAAACACAAGATATGCAATCGAAACGTTCAGCGCATGCTCCATAGACTTTCCAACTTTTTCTAAAAGAAAATATACCACTCGACGATGTCTTTTAAAGCCGAAATTTATTCAAAGAGAAGACAATTTTGTTAACTAGAGCTTTTAAGCTTTTGAGCTTTTAAAAAACTTTGAATGGTTTGAACTTTTTTTTTGTTTGCATGAGTTTCTAAGAAAACGAAACTTATGTTTTGTAGCACTAGCCACATGCAGTCTTAGGTTGCGTATTTTTTTAATACGCAAAATGATTTTCGAAACGAATTAGTTAGATCGGTGAGTCTTCCTCATGCCCTCCTTTGTGACTGAAAAATACAAAGATTCAAATTATAATTATACACAAAAAAGTAAATTTCAGCACTTTGATAGCTTACCTGAAGGTTCAAAGGGCATATTTGCTTGAAATCTTGTTTTCTACGTAAGTTCTTAAATGGTCAAAGTCGGTCGACGTTTATCAACAACAGTTTATGGGCGAGAAGCTTCATGTAAGCTTACGTTTCCCTGGATCCGTTTCCCTGACTCTTTCTAACTGTCGACACTCACTCAAAGCGGAAACCGCTTTAAAAACCTCGTAGAGGCAGTTTTATCGATTTTGACACAGGAAATAATGTTTAATGGGCCCATGGTCTTAGCGGTAGTGTCTTTGCCGTTGACGCGAGAGGTCCGGAGTTCGAGCCTCATCAAGGACATGAATTTCAGGAAACAGGTAGACCATGAAGATGAGTAAGTCAAATTATAGCAGTTACTAAGGCAGTTTACAGGAAAGTGAGTGAGTGACAGATCGATCCCCAACAATAACTCTTCGCAATCTCCGAGTTAAAAATCCATGTCCGTACGAATAAGTCACACAGTCTATTCATACGGAAATTTTCACCAACCTCTTTCCAACTCAAAACTGCCTCTTTGCTTTCAAACTATTTCTCGATTCGGTAAAAGTATTGATTTCCACGCTTTTAAATCAGTTCTGTGGGTTTCTTCCTTTTTTAAGATTTTTATTTCAATGAATATAATACCGCATTGCATTAGTACAACAATACAACAAGCAAAACAAAAACACGAAACAAAGAGCTAAGATGCTCATAACTATTACCTTAAGAAAACTTGGACTTAAGAGTGGATGTCAGCAAACACCAGACATACAGTGGCAAGTGTAAAAAATTAGATTTCGCTCAAACTTTCATATTTGGTACCTTATTATGTCTGATRAAYCACTGTGKTGWKTYTAKYAAAAAMTATTTTTTCGTTTGCGAGATACGATTTTTTTTGTGAGAGAGGTCAAATATGCAAATTTTTGTTGTTTACAAAGAGGGATTTGCGTGACCTCGTATAGCGAAAATACTTGACCTTTAGCGATTATACTTACACGTTGTGTTTATCATTATCTTAATCGTTCTCTGGCTGAAAATGAAGTCCTAAAAAGAAACTAGTGATTTTTGACGATTTTTTAAATTATGCACACTTTTGATAACGTAAAAAGTACTCCTATTTCAAACGTATTTTTCGTTATGACCGATATGGAGAAAATCCACAGGATTTCGTCCAGAGTAAGACCTTAGATTGGTCATTAAACGTATGCAAAAAAATCGATGTGTAAATGTTTTGTTTCTTCAAGCGAAGTACTCAAATTTTGGAAAAATTTGCATATTTGCGAACTTGAAATCTACAAGTTGATTTCANATAGCCTGCATACATCCAGTTTATTTTCAAAATATCGTATTCTRGAAAGTAGTTGCAGTTTTCTAACTAGTAGCCTGATGATGGTTTTGCAATAAAACCGAAATATTGCTCTATGTAATCTACTATTCTATTCGATGTTGAATATCAACTAGAATGAATATATTTCGGTCTCTCATTCATCCTATTCTACCTAAAACTGTCAGCTTGTCCTGGATTTTAGTGTGAGCTGCACTGGTGTTTTTAAAGAAACAGTTTATTAAAACAAAAAAATTAATACTGTGAAAAATAGGTAAAATAACTTACTAKTTTTATGGTAATTTACTTTTTCACGGTGTTAATCTTTTTACACAACTGTTTCTAGAAATTAAGAACCATTAACATAAAATATAGATTTTATACCCCGTATAAACAAGAACCTATTTTGCTTAAAATTGAAAACAKGTTCTTAATTTTTAAAATCATATTTTAGTCATTCTACTAACTGTAAAATTATATATTTTTTTAAAATGCAAGAATTTAATAACAATTTAATAAACAGGAAACAAATTATCATCTTGGTTTGAAGGGAAGTTTTTGCTTTACTCTATTTTATGAACCTAGTAACCAGAATAAAATTATGTGAACTACCATTTATTTAAGAACCTCTTTAGGCTACTTCCGAAAAATGTAGGTTCTTAGTTGGGGGTTTCTACTGTAAAGTTAAATCACAGATTTTTTAATAATTTCACTGATTTTTTATTTTACACCTAAGTCTGTTTTTGTTGTCACTTATAATCACACTTAAAGAGACAGAGGGTGGTTTACATCAAGCAATCTTTGAATTTAGATTTCTTCAGTTGGTAAATAGAAACAGAGCAATGAACAGAGCAGAGAACAGCATATCAAACAAACTTGGTTCATATTATATGTCTTAAGAGTGGATGTCAGCAAACACCAGACATACAGTGGCAAGTGTAAAAAATTAGATTTCGCTCAAACTTTCATATTTGGTACCTTATTATGTCTGATGAATCACTGTGGTGTTTCTATCAAAAAATATTTTTTCGTTTTCTAAACACTATTTTGTTAGTGATATTATATATTGATTTATATTAGACTGATTCCATAAGTCGGCACCAGTTTCCTCTCTGTCGATTTTTTCTTTCGCTCAGCGACTTCAGTCTAGATTTATATTATAAGGAGATTGGATATGGAAATACTTTACCCGCCAGGAACGCCTCTCCGATAATGCGGGTCTATGAAAGACTGATCAYTTTCGCGCGATTATTTTTGCTTGGGCTTCCTGTAAAAAAAACTACGGAACGAAATCTGCGACTTATGGAATTAGTTTACTAGATAATCCTGACCTGTTTTCKCTCGTAATATATGGTATAGACTGATTCTCATAAGCCTACAGAATATTCATTTATCTAGCTGGAATTTTTACATGGGCACTTATCTAACAAAGATGCAAGGACGTCAATGTATGGCTTTTTTCGTTTCACTTTTATATGTGTAGTGTCGAGTTCAAAAGAAGAACAGATATCTTGGAGAGTTAGAATTGAAAGCCTGTCCAGTTTCTTGGTAGCGTGGTTCATACAGAGATCATAATTGTTGTATAAAATTGGATGATGGATGGCTATTGCGTCAATGACTTCTTGCTGAATCTCTTGTAAAGCAGATTCCCTCTCGGCGGCGAGTTGTTCAGCCGAAGTAGGAGTAGCTTTTCTCTTGGCGGTTTCTCGAGAAAAGAAGCTTGCGATTTGTTGAGAGGAAAGGTATTCCTCAAGCAAAAACATAGGTTCGCCGCTGGGTAGCCTCGCCTTACGCATTGACTGGGAAACAGCAGAAGGATCAGCTTTATGGCCCGTTTGGCTTCCAACGTTATATATATCAAGTAGAAAATCTTTTTGCTTTTTCGAAAGACGCTTGTAAGATTTGGATGTCTTRAGGGCCCATCCCATASGTAGTTCCGAKCCGCGCCTTGCTGTGTTATCATCCTTTTCTAATGGTAGAGAGATTTGTGGAACAATGGATGACGCGCCTTCTTCTAGTTTAGCTGCATATAAGATCATAGCTTTGTCATACAGTGTTTCACGTTCTAGGGCATACTGATGATTACCATAGTCCAGATGGTGATGAAGTGATGACATCTTTTGGTACGACTTAACGCAGCCCTTTTCAGTACAAAAGAACAAACTTTGTGCCTCTTCTTCTCCATGATCTTCTGCTTGTGCTGTTTCACTGTGTTTGTCATCTGAAGATTTTGGCCTAGAATGTCGTCGTGCAGTGATGTCTGTAAAAGGTACTTCAGAAGACTTAGTTGAGGTGGTAGAATTAAGTACAGGAAGCTGAGAAACTGTGGGTAAATCCAGAGATCTCCATAAAAGGAACTTTCCAGGGCAATATTATAAGCTTTCCAAACTCTAATGCCTTCTTGACTAAATGAGAAATTATTTAAGAAGCTGATTCCAACCCACTTAGCATCAAATGTAGTTTGGGATGTGAATGGACYGCATAATGAAACTCGTACTCCAGGTACCCCTCCCCTTGATTCAATCGCACTAACCATCTGTTCAGGTGTTTCAACATCATGACCTTCGTTGAGATAGATCTTAATGTGGTTCTTGATAATTGCCGCCTTTCGATCACATGGACCTTTTCCTCCTTGAGGATCGGAATAGTCTGATTGGCATAGGGTTATGTTGTTCTTCTTGGCGATTTCATGTAAGGATAAAAGAACTGGCGCAGAATGGTAACAGCCAGCGTTGTCTTGTCTTAAATAAACGTTTGTTATTGGCTGTGGTGATCTAAGTTAGATCTAAGTTGGCGGAAAACATCGTCGATAATTGACAGAACAGTGTCACCATCTTGCGAGCATTTCTCGAAAATATGTACAAAGGTAAGTGACTGCATGGTGCCATCTTCTTTTTTCCTAGTCGCAACAGTGATGTGCCAACTTATACCGCGCTTTCCAAACCAATCACTTTGGGCTTCCCTGTACTTTCTAGGCAAAAATTTCATGGCCCAGTCTAGGACAAGGAGCGCAGTTCTTGGATCTAGAATCTTTAGGACGTCTCGTCGTGCTTGGTCTTGATTAATTGAGCGCAACATATGGGCTTTCCATAACAGAATCTTTTGTTTTGACTGCTCCAGTTGAAACTTCAACTCGTCTTTTTCTGCGCTRTCATCAATTTCATCTATTGCAACTTGTATCTCGCTGATAACARCAGGGAAAATGTCACATCTATCACATCGTTCATGGTGTTGGTGGTCACATGTTGATAGATAATTATCGTCCCCTCCTTCACTAAGAGCATAGTGACTGCAATGGTCAGCAACAGATGAGTTTTCAGCTACATGAACCTGAAATATGATGCATGATTGCTTATTAGAATAAACATACTGTAACAATATGTCACTTCGCGTTTCAAAGCTTGATGCAATTGTAAGTCATAATATTTTTTCACCACTCTACACGCATGCCTTTGTTTGCTTTTATCAAATTGCCTTTGATTCCCTAGCCAGAC